AGCTTTACAGAATAGTTTGCCATATTTTTCTACTTCAATTAAACCAATCTAAAGATGCACAGGCACTGAACCACATTAGCAACAACCTTTACTATCATCAGATGCCTTATCTTTTCACCAAACAAGAAAACAAGAAAATGTTTGTCAGTGTAATATTAACTTGTAAGTCCTTGACTACAATGAAATTTTTAAATGTATTTATTTCCTACTATTTCTTCTAGGATATGCTGCTTTTAAGTTTTTTCTATATTTCAATTAAAATGTTTTCATAATTATAGAACTATTTTGCTTTTATATATTTTAAATAAGTGGTGGTAAAAATGTTCCCTTCCATTATGTCCAAATTTCCACATTATTATTATACTTTCTTTGAATATATTTTTATTATTTTAAATATCTTAGATATTTGTAGTTTTGCTCTTTCTATATTACAAAACATTTTAGATTTATATTGCCTCTCTTTTCCTTTTAATCCAGTCACAATTTTGTCCACCTTAACAGTGTCTTCCAAGAAACAATTTTAGCCTGTCAACTATCTGCTTTGATGTTTATTTCATTAGTTAGTAAAGATTCATTTTTATCATGTCTGTTATTATATGTCTATGGGACTTATCCTGTTTTCTAACATCTTAATTTGCTCTAGAGATTTAAACAAGCTAGTAAACCTCTAATGGTAATTGACATATTAACCCTACCTTAAAAGGGTACAAGGATGTTGGAACAATCGCTCTACTAACATATTGTGAGCTATTTTCATTTTAAATTCTTGAATTATCGTTATGCATTTCTATAGACCATATTTGTTTTCATCTATTTGCCTAGTAAATAGTTTCTTCTTTCTGTTGCTTCTTGCATTTCAAACTGTTCTCTTCAGACAAATTTCCTTCTTAAGATGGATCCAACTTTAATATCCCCTTCATGTTTACTTGTTACAAATCTTCATTTGTTGGGTTTTTTTAAATGAAAATATATCTCCTACATCCTCATTCTTAAAAGATAGTTTTAATATTTATGTTGAAAATTATTTTCCTCCACACATTGGAAACATTATTCTATTGGCTTCTGGGTTCCTTTGATGTTATTGTGAATTTTGCTGTTAAATTTTCAGCCTTTTTAGCTGACTTTTCTCTCTAGCTATCTTAACTACTTTCTGTATTTTTGATGGTCTGCAATTTGAGTGGTTATGTTTAGGTGTGGATTGCTACATGTTTATTCTGTTGGCATGTGGCGTGCTTCCATTTCCTGTGGATCCATGTTTTTCATCAACTCTGGAAAGTTTTCAACCAAATATTAGATTTATATATTGCACCCCCTCTATTATCACTAATCTGTCTGACTGTGAGCTGCTATTGCATATATGATTAACATTCTTATATTTTTCTCCATGTCTTTAAAATTCTTTCCAACAGCTTCCATCTTCTTGTGACTATATCATTTCATCAGATCGAAGAGTTCATCAACATCTAGTTTACTGAGTCTGATATGTTGGTTGTAGGTAGAAATGGAGAAACATTTCCAAGATTTAGGATGATTTAGAAGGCTATAGAGTCATTTCAAAGACTGAGGAGACCTTAATTTTTCCTAGGTAATTTATATTAATAACTCTTACCATATTGTGCAGTTAACTGCATGGTATCTATAAAACTCATGCTATAAAATTAACTTTATTTTTTCCTTTACAAGAAATTTTAATAATCTTTTCTAAGTGTCATGGAAACCATTATTTTTCTTTTTTAGAAGACAAATGAAAAGGTCTATGAAATTTCTAAATTCAGCTGAGAAACATAATGCACTAACATGTATTTGAAAGCTCTCTGCATTGATTTATTTCATGTGTAACCACCCCCGAAAGCCCTTTCAAGCCTTTTCTTCACATCTATAATATGATATGCATGACCTAATCAAAGGCCAGCACCATGTTCTTTGTTTGATTTGTTATTTTCAGAAAAGAAAGAAAAGTCACAAGTCCAAAAAATGAAGCTGAACTCTGCTATTGAACAAATTCATTTCTTATTGACTTTCTTGAGAAACATGTGACTGCAGAGCTGCTATCACACTATTCTTAGCACTACAAAATTGACTACACACTTCAATTAGTAATTTGGTAAACAACCCTGAGGCATCAGCTTGTAAAACTTAGTATTATTTGTTATATATTAACTTAGGATGCCAGACTATCACCATGAGTTTCTTTATTAAATTTCAATGCCTTGTGTAATAGCCCTTAAATATGTTGTGTCTTTGCAGTTCTCCTATCTCACAAATTTTGCAGAAAAAAAATAGATGAACACATGTAATTTGACCTTATGAGAGATATTAAGAATAAATATAGATGTCAATATATGACAATGTATTTTAATACCTTCTAATAAAGAGATAATTCTTTCATTCCCTATTTTGTTGGCTTTCTCCCTCTACTTTTCTTTCTGCCCTCTCCCTACACTCTCCCTACTTTCCCCCACATGACTTGGTACACTATGTTGGTATTTTCTCTTTTTGTGTGAGTTCAGCATTATCCAGTCTCAGCATTTGGGTCTTATATGTAAAGTACCTTCTTAACTACACATGGTGGCAAAGAGGGACAGCATTGTAGGAGTGACAGTCCCCTGTGCTGTTATGGGCAGCCAATATGATGAGGTTGGAAGACTTCCTGACCTTAACACCACCCCTGAAAACTTAAATTCTACCATTAGCAATTTATTCTTGTGGGTGAAGGCATTGCCCCTTATCAAAATGCAAATCCCTCTGGGCCAGAAAATGTCTAACCTGCTATCATTCATTAGCATCATACAAGTAATTCGTGTAATGGAACATTTCCAGCAGAACTGGGCTGAGAACAATTTTTTAAGAATTAGAGATATCCACTTGGAAAGGTTCAGGACTAGAAGAGGTCACTAACCATCCAGAAAGCAATAGGAAGCTGTTGCAGATAGAGAAGGAGAACAGCAAGAAAAATTACAAGTTGAAGATGCTCACAAGAAAGTTATCTAGTTCCCAGCTTTCCCATCCTAACTCTTAAGTGTAAATTTTTTGAAAAATGAAGAAAATAAACATCCACATGAGTATCCCATGAGTCTAGCCCAGGGGGCACAGTTTCCTGAACAATTTCATCTGGGATCTCATTAGGCAAGAGTCATGAGAGTGAGAAGCAACCATAGAGATTGATTTGTATGTTGTCAAATGTATGAAGGTATCAGGGGTGAACTAGATGTTATTCATTGCATTCACAAGATTTCAGAGTACATAGATAATTTCGATCAGGACTATTGAAACTAAGCGTGAAACTGGCCAAAAGTCTTGTTTCGTTCTGGTGGCTCAGTTTTCACTTCACCAAACTAGAATTGAATATGATCACGTGTGTTCCCTTTATCCTTCCTTAAATTTAGTAAGTATTTCTGGTATTCTTATTTCTACAAAGTTCACTGCCAGTGTTCTGGGGAATACAATAAATAAGAAATACAAAGGAACTGGTCCCAAGTAGGTAATAAAGCTTTGCAAGGAGAAAATAAAACAATAAGTATATTGCCAGTTAAGACTATAATGTGAGCTCTCTGGGACATACAAAGGAAACACAATGTGGTAAGCTAAGAGTGTTAAATAATGTTCAACCCTTTACTTATAAATAACCTGTTCTCCCATTACTTTAAATATTGGCATTTGGGGTGGCCATAACTTCATGCAGATGACCTAAGGCAAGCCATCAGTTGCCCACTGAGCTGAGAGATAACCAGAAAAATCTTAGAAATTCATCACTGATGAAAAAGGGTGTGCTCTCACCTCTGCTAGAAATTCCCAAAGACCCAGAAAGCTTTATAAAAGGAAGCAGAGGGGAGAAGTAGGAGAGGGGAAGAAGAAGGAAAAAGAATTAAGATGTGCTATATACATGTACCAGGTCCCCAGGATGAATGTAATCATTGTGTATTGCAAAGATACAGTAGGAAAAATTGGAAAATTTTAAAGGACAGTAGGAATTAGATTACCCCTTAAAGTACATCCTGACATTATTTCTTCCCAGGCAACTCCCTCCTTGTTCCAATAGTCAGGGTTGGGGTGAAGAGTTGCCAAAGTGCTGGAGGTTGGAGTAGGGATGAAGTAACAGAGGGCACGGAGGCTAAAGGATGGCTCAAAGAAGGCCTCTCAAAGGAGATGCACGATTTGGAATTTCAGAAGGAAAGAATTAATGGGACACAAATTAGAAAAGGGCAGTTACTGAAGCTGGAGAACAAAGCCAGGATTCTGTTAGTTGCATTGATCCCCACAATAAATGTTAGCATTTGAGACTTGTTTCTATGGGAGTATAAAGGAGAAAGGTCAAAAGTATTTGAATGGGCCATGTACTGAGTGGATATTGCCACACAAACCAGTCTGGCCTGGACAGGTCAGCATCTCTATCCTTGTGTCTTCATTCTGCTCCTTAAAAATGATGACAGTCATTCTCACAGTCATCCACGTCACACATCTATCAAGAAGCTACTGTGCTGCAGGCTCCGTGCAAAAGTGTACACAGAGATTCAGGTAGAAGCAGTTGGTTCCAGAACCTGGAGTCTAAAGACAACCTATAAAGCACAATCCAAGAATAGCTAAATTACACCCATGCTGTGAGCAAGGCCAAGGGCTGGCCCTAGAAGAGGTGCCTCAGTTTCCAAATAGTTATGCCTAACCTTCTCACATAACATATCTGATTTATCACAACAGTCCTGTGCTTCACAGCCTTTTCAGAAACAGATGTTCTATAACAATTTAACCTTGAGGACACATGCCTTAAAGGACTGTCAAGAAAAATATACCTAAGCTCTTTTCGGTAACACTCAGGGAACTTGGGGAGTGAATTTGAGGACCTACAGGTCTCTGGCACCCACGTGTCCAGTCCTCCAGCCCATCTGTTCCTTTCACTCAAAGCCCTAGAATCCTACGCCATGGGCAGGATTTTCACCTCTCAATATAGAACTGTACGCCTTATCTCATAGTCCAACTGACTTCCTAGGATAAATCATCATGCTTGTATTCTGTAAGAGGCAAGAGCCTTGATTTTGTTCTTAACATATGTGAGGCTTCGTTCATTCAGTAGACTACCTATTTTAACCACCAATAAGCATCCTAAGATTTCAGATGATAATGCCCTGAAGGATCAACTTTTAATCGGTTATTGATTACAGTTTGGGAAGCCCTGGACCCAGATTAAATGCTGTGTGACATGTCCTGTGGTAAGTAGATCCTCTCCGCTTGAAGTCTTGAAGTTGTTTGAAATGCTATAAACCAAGTTTCTCCAACAGTCGTTTTAAAATTGTGACATTTTATCCTAGTTTTACAGCAAAAAGCATTCTTTAGCAATGTGTTGAAAGGCAACATGAGTTCACTCTGAGTCTTTGATTATGTTTAATAGCTTCACTGTCAGACAGTGAGTCATGATCTTTCTCTTCTGTTTTACAGTTTCTGTTTACACCTCCTTGCAGTTGATAAAAGCAATGTAACGGGCTCTACCCATTGACGATGATGACTCCTTTATTTTAATCAGTACAGAGGAAAAAATAAAATTTAGCACAATAAGGTGTAAAACCCCTTCTTTCAGCCATTTGAAATTTTAGGAGTTATACATGTAGTCTTACAGAATGACTTTTCATGACATTAACTGTCAGTACAATTCATCATTTGATTTACTTGAGAAATTTTGCTTTCTTTTTATCAGGTTCAATTTAGTAAATGAGGCTACAAAATTTTTCATCTTTTCTTTTTGCAAGTCGGCATTATGTAAACATTCATAAGCATGCCATTGTAATATTTAATGGGAAAAAATCAATAGCAATTTTCTCTCCAATCCAATCAAGTTGAATTCATCTACCAGCAGGGTATAGTCCGAGTAAATGGGCTGTAAGGCGAGTACTCACTAAGCAATGAAATTGGTATTTTTCAATCCATATTGAACTTCAATTATTATTAATAATTTGTTTCATACTTACCAGTCTTTTGGTAGCATTTTTGAAAAGCCAGTACTTCTAGAAGTCTCAGTTTAACTCTATGTTTGTTTATTTCCCATATACAATTTCTTCAGTCATATGTTACTAATTTGAAAATAAATTTCATCCCTTTTGGTGAAAATACCTTGGAATTCCACCAAGTAGGTACCTGAATAAGTGGTTGGTACTAATCCTGCAGGTAGGAATATATTTAAGGTCAAACAAAAATAGTACATAATGGGAAAGTGTAAAATAGGTATAGTCTGACATTTTCTGTGAAGACCCAGATGTAAATATTTTAGCTCTGTGGGCCATACACTACAGTTTTTGGCATAACTGCTTGTTATGGTTTGTATCTAGATGACCTCGAAAGCCTCATGCAGTCATGGGGTGGACTTCTAGAGTTTTTGATTGATCCATAGTCCAATGCTGGGATTATGGGTGTTAGTGCTACACCCACCCTGGGCCAGGTAGTTTGCATACACTATAAGGGAGGGAAAGAGGCTTGCTCTCTGCTTCTCCTCCCTTTTTGTTCTTGCTGCTTCTGCTGTCTTCTACCACCATGAACTGTTGCCCGCTGCCATGTGTCACTTTGCCTTGGAGCCAGCTGATTATGGACTGAAATCTCCACAAACTGTGAGCTAAATAAACAATTTGAGGTGTCAGGTACTTTGTCCCAGCAATGGGAGAGTAACTAAGACAATATTCAACTTTGCTTTTTCAGCATAAAAACATGCATGAACAAATGAAGGAATGAACATGGTTGCTTTCAAATAAAACTTTATTTACAAAATAGTGAGCAGACTGGATTAAGCCTGTGTGCCATATTTGCTAACACTTGGGGAAAGATATTACTCCTCTGGAGATTACATTTCAGTGCACTGCTAAAGAAATGGTGACAATGTACATTTTGTTCACATGTCCACACAGAGAAAATGTTAGAGTTCCTTTGGACATTGAAAAGCTATATCAAATGTGTCCTGAGGCTGGCAATGATAGTATGCCTATGTGTCCCACTTACTTGGGACCCTGAAACAAGAGGATCACAAGTTTGAGGCCAGCCTGTGCAAGTTAGCAAAGCCCTGGTTCTTACTGTTAAAATGCACACAAATAAAATAAAATAAAATGCATCATAATATCACTAAGCCCCTGTTCAAAGTTCACAGGACCCTAGGCAACCAGTTTATGATTACAGGGCAAAAGAGATCAGGTGAGATCCAAGAAAAGATACAAAACAGTTATAAACCTTTATGTTTTACCAAATATTAATAATGTGGGGATAACTACACTGAAATTGGAGTAGAGGAGGGAGTCTGATCACAGAGAAAGTTTAGAATGAGACTATTCTTGCAAATATGTCCATTCCAAATAAGGCCCATCATTAGGGAAATAGGAGTTATGGAGATAATTAGAATCCAGCCTAGTTGATAGCGAAAGGAAGAGAGTCAGTTTATCCCAGGCATATTGGACTGCTCAGTAAGCACTTTGGACTGACGGAAGGGATGTGCATCAGGGTGGAAGAGATTTGGGGAGCCAATGGAGGGAAAAACATGAGAAATAAGCAAGGGGTGGTTGGTGAGCCATTCAGAAACACAAAAACCTATGCTACCAGCAGCTAATGTAGTTGCTCAAGTTTTCTCAGACACTCTAATTCCTGAGTTATTGCAAGATTTAATTAAGGTCACTGTGGAGTATGTGACCAAGTTTCTGATCAACCGATCAGGTAGACAGCTGCAGAGACTGGGGAAGAGTATTATCAAGGAACCAGGCAGGGCCTGACTGAATCAGAACTGTTGGCATTGTGCTCAGATATGGCAAAACTGTGAGAGACTGAAATGAACTCTTTCTTTACAATGTCTCATTTATAGCCCAGCAAGAAAATCAGACCCTGTGCCTAATACTGCATTGTTCCACGGTTGTCTTATCTACTGAAAATCATATTGCCTACCTTTTTTTTTGACACATAAAGAACTTTTACACTGTAAAAAGAGTTAAAGAGAAGCAATGAGAAACGGAAGCATTTGAGATATGAGGAATGGAAACAAAGACCAACACAATAGGTATTATGTACAGTAGGCATTTCATGTTGAATTATTGTAATGTAGAATATTTTTAAATAGGAAGAATAATTAATACCTTTAGCCTTATGTGTAATTTAAACACTCAAAAAATACTTCTAAGTTTTACAATAAATTAAAGGAGAATACTTTATGTTAATTTTATAAAGGCAATAAAAATATAAAACATGTTGGTTTTATAGTCACAAGGAGCCCCATATGACTTTGTGCACCATTTATGTAGATTTATTGCAGGCTTTCTAAAAAGAGACACTCTACTTGTTCTTTAATAAAGTACAAGCTTTCCAATCAGTGTAGAATAATATCCCCCCACCCACATCACAATTAGTGGCTTCTCTAGATAGGCTTTGCCTGACAGGTATAGGACACTCTAGTTCCAAGAAATTAACATCTAGATTCATAAAGCTCTTAAAAGGAAAAAAAAAAACACAAAAACCTTAACATAGAATCTCACAATAGTTGGAAACGGCATGACTGACTTCATTTGCCACATGGCCGTTAGACAATCACATTTGGGGAGTTGCAATTAACCTGTGGAGGTAGAAGAACTGAATTTGAGATAAATTCAAATGGAAACACATCCTAAGTGAACAAGGAGAGACAGGAGAGCTCAATGCACATAGCTTTGATTGTACTGGGCAAGCTTCACGAACAGGATAAATCTGCAATGAATAGTAGGCGGGAATGGGAGCCACGCTGGAAGAGCTACCTGCTGGTCCAAGCTGATTCTGGAAAACAAGTGTGTACAGGGCAGCCCACCAACATTGATGAAAGTCCTTGTGCGCGCAGAGCAGCAGAAAGAGGGGTAATTGCCATGGAAACGGAGCCTAAACGCAGCAAAGCACCAAGTTTGAAATTTAGGGATGTGAACTGCACTCATCTTTAAATAAAGGAAAATATAGAACTAAGGTAACAGCAGAGGCCCTCACACTTGCCAAACTAGAGCAATAGCTAAAGCCTATGACCGTCAGCAGAAACTGCCAGTGAGTCTTGGGCCCCTCAGTCTGGGCTGGCCTTTGGATCAGAGCTACACTGGGCTGGAAGAGTGTCTCACTAGCAATGAAACCCAAGCGCAAGTGGAGAAGTAAAGCTTTGGGTCTGGCTCAGTGGTCTCTGGTCCTTACCGATCCTCCCATTTACATTGCTAAGAGGTGAATTCAGGCACGTGCATGTGCTTGTGCGCGTGTGGGTGTACACATGCACAAACACATACACACACACCCTTGTGAAAAATTTTCATTTTCTGGAGTGCTTGTGTTATCTCCACCCAGACAAGATTCTGTGGCGATTCTGTCCCCACTGTACTGACATTCCTCTTGTGCCCCTGCTGTGAAAATGTGGGAAAATTCACTTGCTCACCAAGTGGTTTGTCTTGATTCCAAACAACCCACTTGATAACCGTTTGAACTACAATGAATCCACTTACCAATGATTATGAAAGCATTATTCTACACTGCAGACCCTTCTTCGTTCAAACTGCTTCATCACAGAACAATTTGGTGGCCCCTTAAAGAAACTGACCTCTCCTGCCTGCTAATCTGAGGAAAGAACACATCCCCTTAGCTCGCCAGCCACTGTGCACTGTGGTAGACTGGGCTTTGTGGGTTTTGTTCCCCCTTTATACAATAGAGATAATGGAAATGAGATGAATACTTCAGAACAAAGGCAGTAAAGTATTATTACAGCCAGTGAAGGGCTGATTTGTTTCAAATGCCAATTGTTTAGAGCAAGGATTTTGCCAAAAAAATTAAATAATAAATGGTTACCATAATGGCAAGTATTGCCTTATTGATCTATGGAAATCAGATTTCAGATAGTAAAAAGCCTGACATGCTTAAGAATAGATTAGACTAAAGCAAGTATCCATGATGAATTATTACCAAGTTTCTCATTTGCTTACAGTACATTTTCAGAAGCACCCAGACACTTAGACTTATATTGTTGGATTTCTAGGTTCTATGGGCTAATAAAATTGAAAAATGAAAGTGTCATGACTAAGAACGAGCCTATAATGCAATAGTTTTTTAGGTCTAGATTAGATTCACCCAGAGGGTTTATTTAAAAGAGAGTCCCAGAAACTGATCCTCCAGTGTTCTTGATTCACAAATTACAGAAGGGCCTGGGAATCTTCATTTACATTAAATGACCCACATGCTTCTAGGCTGATGGCCT